GCTTAGTCCTCAATCTAGAGGAAAACCTTTGTCTATGTTCCTTATTGTTTATGTTATCAGTATTGTTAACTCTCAAGTGCTAGCAACTCTTGTTAACGCCCACTAACCTGTCAACCTAACTTGACAGATTATTAATGTAGCCAATGAAAAGGAGGTAAATTCCACATAAAAATCTCCACCCCCTGGCCAATGGTTCCCTGAACTACAGATGTACCATGCTCCTGTCTGCCTTAGCTGTCCCCCTTATTATACTAACTCTTCTGGTTTTTGGACCCTGTGTTGTCAACGGTCTCCTTTATTTTATTGGGGCTCGTGTTTCTCTGTTTGGTTGGCTGTTGCCCTGCCTCCAGATCTTGCCAGGCATGTCTCTGAAAGCAGGGACCCACTGTTCCTTGCCCTTGTCAACCTATGGTTGGCCTCTGACAGGTTTTGGCAGATTCTTGACCCCTGAGGAGGCCTTTGGACAGGACAGTGCTGCCACTCCCTCTGCCAAATGACACAAAGGGACCCACCCTTCGAGGGCTGGTAGTCAATGACAGGTAAGATCCTGAGAGATGGGATAACCTAAGACAGGCACAGTCCATTATGCTGGGTGACCCTTGAGGTGGGGACAACAATGCCGAGGCAAAGAATCTTGACTCCCACTGGTTGGCATGGAGTTGGCACAACCTGCTCTTAAGGAAGCTCGCCATCTTGAGGGAGGGGGCTTTTGATACAATGACCCCCTGAGCCATTGTACTTTGCCTTGATATATCTGAACTGATATCAATATGCTATATACCTCACCTTTAAAAATTAAAAAAAGGGGGAGATGTGGGAGACAGGCTTGAGCCTAGGGTGATATTGCAACTGTCAGGGTCACGTGGTTTCCAGGAATCCAGGCTCTGTAATCTGAAACCCAGTATGCTAATGAGGCATCCTACCCTCTAGTCTGTGATAGGACGTTAAGTCTGTTATGTTATGCTAATAAGGTATCCTACTTCCTGTACTGTGATAGGACGATGAGGTATCCTACTTGCTGTGCTGTGATTGGACCGCTACCCATATATAAGCTTGTGCCTTCCTGCAATAAAGCAGACCTGTGTCACTGAACCTGGTCTCCTGTGTCTGAATGTGGCTCCACTGACACAGTCTCCTCACCAGCCCTGGGGTCCAGGACTGGGCAGAAGCAGCAACAACAGGAGGCAGCACAGGGCAAGCAGAAGAGCTGCCACAGCACCGGAGGGACAAAAGAGTGGCCTCAGTCCAGGGCAGGCAGAAGAGCAGCCTCAGCCCAGGGCAAGGGGAGGAGCAGCCTTGACGCCTGTGAGAACGAAGGAGCAGCACCCACGAGAACGGAGGAGCGGCCGCCGCTGGCGGTGACCACAGATTTACAGCAGAATTCTATCAGACATTTAAAGAAGATCTACATCCAATACTACTTAACTTGTTCAAAAAGATAGAAATGGAGGGAGAACTTCCAAATTCCTTCTATGAAGCCAGCATCACTCTAATACCAAAGCCAGGTAAAGATAAAACCAAAAAAGAAACCTATAGATCCATATCCTTAATGAACATAGATGTAAAAATTCTCAACAAGATACCTGCAAACCACATATAGACACACATCAAAAAAAATTATCCACCATGATCAAATTGGCTTTATCCCAGAGATGTAGGGATGGTTCAATATACGTAAGTCAATAAACATCATAAATCATATAAATGGGCTCAAAGACAAGAACCACATGGTCATCTCAATAGATGTAGAGAAGGCCTTTGACAAAATTCAGCATGCATTTATGTTCAAAGTCCTAGAGAGAATTG